TCTTTTCTAGCAACCATTAGTGAGATTAAACTTCTGGCACTGTGATTTTTGTTTAATAACCTATGGCTTCTGGGATTTTCTTGATTCATCCTTATTGGGTACCTCATCTCAAACTGTTTTTATGACTTTTTAAAATCCCACTAGTTCCATCTGATTCCCCTCTCCTTACCCCTGCCCCCACATAAAACTTTATCCCATAATAAAAGTATATTATTAGAATTAATGAATTAATGCTACCTGTTTCTTATAACTGTTGAGAATATGGCTGTGTGGAAATGTAAATGTTCCCATGTGTCCTGGGTTATTTTCCCTTTGGACACTGTGGCTCTATCTGGTCATCTCTGTTGACTTCATTTACTATCACTTGAGGGGCCTCAGTCATAGTTCAATTGTTTATATTTCAAGTTTATGTTTTTAACATTTTTATTATCATTTATTGCAATTTATTCAATTTATATCCCAGCTGTGTCTAATCCCACTGCCCTTCCCTCTTCTCTCACTATGTCCCTCCCCTAGTCCACTGATAGGGGAGGTCTTTCTCCCCTTCTATTTGACCCTAGCCTATCAGGTCTCATCTGGACTAGCTGCATTGTCTTCTTCTGTGGCCTGGAAAGGCTGCACCCTAAAGGGGAAGGTGATCAAAGAACCAGCCATGAGTTCATGTTAAAAACATCCCCTGTTCCCCTTATTAGAGAACCCACTTGGACACTGAAACTGTGGGCTACATCTGAGCTGGGGTTTTAGGTCCTCTCCATGAATTTTTTTTGTATGCAGTATCAGTTGCTGCAGGGTCCCCAGGGCTCAGCTTACTATTATGCTAAGAGGGAAACATAAATTTGGCTCTGTTGGTCTGTCCCCTCCAGGTCTTTCTAGCTTCTCCTTCTTTCATAAGATTCCCTGCACTCTGCCCAAAGTTTGGCTATGATTCTCAGCCTCTGCTTCCATACCTCTATCAATGGAGTCTTTCAAAGACCCTCTGTGCTAGGCTCTTGTCCTATTCTCTTTCTTCTCTTGCTTACCATGTCTACCCCATTTGTCCTTCTGGATCAAGACTGAGCACCTTCCCTAGGGTCTTCCTTGTTGTTTAGCTTCTTTAGGCATATTGATTTTAGTATGTTTATCCTATATTATTTGGCTAATTCACTTATGAGTATAACTGTGTGTGTCTTTCTGCTTCTGGGATACCTCACTCAGGATGATCTTTTCTAGACCCCATCATTTGCCTGCAAATTTCATGATTTCCTTGTTTTAAATTGCTGAAAAGTATTCCATTGTGTAAATGTACCACAATTTCTGTGTCCTCTGCTGAGGGACATGCTGGTTGTTTCCAGCTTCTGGCTATTACAAATAGAGCTGCTATGAACATGGTTGATCAAATGTCCTTGTTATGTAGTTGAGCATATTTTGGATATATGCTTAAAAGTGCTTTAGCTAGAATTTGAGGTAACACTATTCCCAATTTTCTGAGAAAGCGCCAGAGTGATTGCCAAAGTCAAGTTTATGTTTAATTAATTCATGTTCATGATATCAAATTGCTTCAGACAGGAGACAATGGGTATTATTTTGTATATTTCCCAAATATTGGGCTCAGGAATAGCCAGATTAGATGATTGTTTTATTTGTAATTTATACAAGCCATTGATACCACTGATGCTTTCGTTAAAAGTCCTGGTAATTAAATTATAATTAACTCAACCAACTAGTAAATCACAATGAGAAAATATCATCCTGCATATTTAACAGTGCATTCTTTCATTAGCTAATTGTTATTGTCTATAATGAGATTCAACATACTACAAAAGGGTAATTTAGAGAGATCTTATTTTTAAAGGTGTAAAAGAACCACACACTGCAGTAATCCAGAGAAAGTAGACTTCGTGTTTATTTTTTGTTGTTGTTGTTGTTTTCGACATGGAGTGTCTATATAGAAAGTGTCTTAGCCTATTCAGCCTGCTATTAAAATGATATCATAAAGTTTAGAAACAGAACATTTATTTCTAATCACTTTTTCTCATTATTAGGCTAAGAAGTGACAAATTAAGGTACCCAACACAGATTCTGTATCAGGTGAGGACTTTCTTTCTAATTCACAGAGGGTGCCTTTTCATGGGGGAAATCCTTCCATGGGGGAAGAGATCAGTATTATCTCTAAAGCCTCTGTTTTATAGGAACAAATACTATGTGATAGCTCCACCACTGTGAATTAATCACATCTCCAAGATCTCACCTCCTCATATCATCACCATGAGGGTAAGCATTTTGCTAAGAGGATTACACAAATCTATATTATGGAAAAATGGTGTTGTGTCTTTTACATAGGAATATATCCACCTATATATACTCCCAAGTTGTTGAATGTGGTAGTATAAATGGGAATACCCTCACATTCATATATTTCAATGCTTAGTCACCGGAAAGTGGAAATCTTTGATAGGATTAGAGTATTAAGAGGTATGGCCTTGTAGTGTGTTGCTGGGGTTGAGCTTTGAGGTTTTCAAAAGCCCATACACCCATTCCAGTCTCTCTCTCTCTCTCTCTCTCTCTCTCTCTCTCTCTCTCTCCCTTTTCATGTGGATAAGGATGTAGCTCTAAAGCCATGAACCAACAAGAAGAAGCAGAACTTGGCAGCTTCAGCCAAATGGTTCTGGATTTAAAGTCAAGTATACAAGAGAGGGGTTATGGAATCTCCCTACACAGCCAAGGAATGCATTGAGACCAGGCATGTGTCAAGAGTATCATTGCATGGACACCTAGAGGAGTCATTTTGTTAAGCTGTGAAGGTGAAGCCTGTATTGTATTGGAAACCCCAAGATATTGGAGGCACCAGATTCATGGAATACGTATCAAGGAGCGTGCAGACCAGGTGAAAAACCAGCTGAAGATAAAGAAATGTGTTGTAGCCAACAAAGCTGAAGAGATCTGAAGAGCTGCTTTGACCTCAGACATGGAGATGTAGAGTTTAGAATTTGTCTTGTTGGTTTTCTGTCTTGCATTGGTCTGTTTCCTCATTATGATTCCTTTCTTCTCTTTTGAAAGCTAATGAATTCTGTCCCACTCTATGTTGAAAGTATGTGATCTGCTTTTGTATTTTATTTTTACTGGGGATTACAGATCAGAGATTGACTTGAGGCTCAGAAGAGACTTTGAACTTTGGCCTTTTAAACAATGTTGAGAATTTGAGAGACCATGGGGTCTTTTGAAGTTGCACCATAACCGGTGTGCATTATGATATGGTTACAAGCCTATGAGGGTCAGGATGTGGAATGTGGTGGATTGAATAAGAATGGCCTCGAAGGCTCATATATTTAAATGTTTAGTCACCAGGGAGTGGAACTCTTTGATAATATTAGAATTAGGAGTAATGGCCATGTTAGAGGAAATGTGTCACTAAGGGTTGGGTTTTGACGTCTTCAAAAACACACACCTGGCCCAATATTTCTTTCTATCCCTCAGCCTGTGGAGCAGGATGTAACTCTCAGCCACTGCCCCTCATTACTGATGCTGGCATGCTCCCTTCCATGAGGATAATGGACTGAACCTCAGAAACTGTAAGGATGTCCCCAATTAAATACTTTCTTCTTTAAGAAAGTCCTGGTCATGGTGTCTCTTTCTATCAGTAGAATGGTGACCAAGATAATACAAAAGAAAAATCAGTATTTCACTCTCCCATAGTTTCCAAATATTTATTAATACTCTCCACTTAAATCCAAACAAAATCCAGAAGTAAAGAGCAGGTTGATATGGTCCATAAAATGATCTTCCCAAACCAGATAGTACTGAAAATGTCACAATAGCTCTGTAGCAGCAAAAAGAAAATGCACAGTATACTCTGTGGTTTCAGAAGTTTTTGTTCTTGGTAGACATATAGGGTATCCCTACCTCATCCCTTTATTTTAAAAAATAAAGAATTACCTTAAAAGTAAACTAAGCTGAGGAGATTCTCATATACTTGTTCCTTACCTCATATTCCTAGTTATCATCACCCACATGCTTTGGGCCGTAAAATCCAGACCTCTGTTGAGACCTAGCCAGCTGCCTATCCAATCAGCCTCACCTGGATTCCTTAGAGGCTTCTCAAACTAGAATGGCCCAGAAAATATCCGTCGTTATTGAATGATGCCCTGACAAAGTGTAGAAGAAGTTTTACTTAGACTTAGCTGAGATATACTCAATTTGTGGCGATTTTTATAAAGGATTGAAATTTTTTTGTTCTCATACATGGAAAGAAGTCTAAAGTAAAACATGGAACTTCTGCCCCATACTTGAGGACAAAGTTATGGCTTTAGGTTCAACAAAGATGAGTCTAGAGAGGATTGAAGTAGAAAAGTCTAAGAGTTTGGTCTTTTCATAAATATTACCTAAATGATTGCTGGTAGACTTGCAAAGGAATACCTTCTCCTCCAGCACGAATTTCATGAAAACTAGTAATGTGAAGGACAAAAATATGTTCATAACTATAAAATTAGGGCATTAGAAAGTTACAATTATATGCATACCTATATTATACACATATTTATAAAATATTATATGAAATATACATTACGTAAGATATATTATAAAATATATTTGCAATATAATAGAAATATTTTATAAAATTAAAGCACTCTGCAGTTGAGTGCAACAGCACATGGGATAGTAATGTGCGACAGGAAGGGAAGTAGCATGACAGCAAGCTAGAAGAAACCCACGGCTGTCAGGACCTAAATGTTCCTGAGATGCTACGAGATAAACACGGATGGGAAAGAGGCTGGACCAGAGACTTAGGGCGATTGAGCGTCTCTTCTCTGGAAACTAAAACTTAAAACTTCCTTTAAGTTCTTCCAGGTACTCTTTGTCACCTGAGATTGTCTCCACAGCTCTTCCTGGACAGTGGCCCTTGGAGAGCCAACTAGTTGCCAGGCCCCCTTGGAGCGCCTTTGTAGCCTTCCCATGATTGGCTTAGACCAAGAGGCGCGTGTCTGACGTCACTGCGCGGCGCCGGATGTGTGTGCTTCTGGAAGCCGGTTTCTTGGAGAGCGGCAGCTGACCCGGGGAACGGGAGCGGGACAGAGGCTCCACCTGGGGCGGCAGCGAGGGAGGGTGGCAGCGGGACAGGCGGTAGGAGCGGGCGCCCGAGGCGGGGTCTCGGCGTGTGGGCTCTCTCTCGGCGGCGGCGTCCCAGAGCTGGAGCCGCCAGCTTGTTGCTAAGGTCTCCAGAGCGCGGGAGCTCCCGGAACTTGGCTCGGAGAATTCTCACTGGAATCCGCTGTTTCCTCGTTTTCAGATCTTTTGTTTGTTTGTTTCCTCATAGCGGTACCTACGTACTTCCTCTTTTTTTTTTTTTCTTTAGTATTGTTATTATTACAATTTATTCACTTTTGTATCCCGGCTGTGGATCCCTCCCTCCCGTTTCCCCCAACCCCTGTGTCCCTCTCTTAGTCCACTGATAGGGGAGGTCCTTCTCCCCTACTGTCTGACCCTAGCCTAGCAGGTCTCATCAGGAATGTCCGGATCCTCTTTCTCCGTGGCCTAGTAAGGCCTCCGAGCCTGGAGGAGGTGATCAAAGATCAGGAAACTGAGTTCTTGCCAGTGACTGCACCTGCTCCACTTACTAGGTCACCCACATCGAGACTGAACTGCCCACAGACTGAGCAGAGGCTCTAGCTCATCCCCATGCATGGTCCTTGGTTAATCGTTCAGTCTCTGCACGGGACCCTGGGCACTTCCTCTTTTTCAACTTTTACAACACTCTGGAGCTGAATTGAACTTGGAAGTGGCTATGTAGATTTGCTGGTGGGATGTTGGAAAGATGGAAAGTAGATTTTACTTCATGATTAAAAAAAGAATGAGGCTGTCCGTTGCAGTTTGAAGGGTCTTTGCAGATGGAACACAGCTTCTTCAGCTAAATACGTTTTGAAATTTTTGGAACTTTCTACATTACTAATGAGAGAGTAGAAGAAAGATGATGACTAATGTAGTGATCTTAAACCAGGCGGAGGGCTACTGAATTTTGGTTTTTGTAAAACAAAGACAGTGTGGTTACCTAAGTATATACAGGTGACACCAGTCCCTTTTGGCCAAGGCTCAGTGAAACCTAGAGGATTTGTATTGTATGCTGCTTCCCCTCTGACATGTGATGTCATTTAAGCCTTCCACATTTAGTGGATGTGTGGATTCTGGTGTTTATCTAGAACCCTAAGAAATAAATGCGGGGTATTTATAGCAAAATACTTTTTACCTTTCTATTTCTTTTTGTTCCTGCTCCATTACACCACTGGCCTCAAGTCATTTAAAGAACAGGTAGTCTAAGGATGTTTTTCTTTCACACACACACACACACACACACACACACACACACACACACACACAAACCGTGAGTCCCATGTTTGTCAATGGTATTCTCCCAGGTGGATATTATTATTTTAAACCAAACATACTTTGTCTTTTAAAGAGTGATACTTTTAACAATTAAAAATAATTATTTTTGCCAGGCATACCTTCACATGCCTTTAAGCGTTCCCAGCACTCCAGAAACATGGAGAGGCAGATCTAAGTTCAAGACCATCCTGCTCTATGTAGCAAGTTCCAGGCTGTCCAGGACTATATAATGAAAACCTGTCTAAAATTAAACAACTATTATTTTTTAAAAGATCGTAGGGGCTTGTAGACCATCCTAGTAGAATCCATTAGCTCCAGTTTCAATGATATAACCTTGTTCACAAAATGATGGAGAATAAAGCAGAAGATATCCAATTATCCAATGTCAGCCTCTGGTCTCCATGGACATACCTAATTGCACATATTAATGTGTGTCTGTCTCTCTGTGTGTGTCTGTACACACATGACAAACTAACTTGAATACTTAAACAATCTGGAAGCTCTGTGTTCTAGAATGTTTAAAAGCTTTTCAAGTGAAGAGATACAGTGACTTTTAAATTCATTTAAAATATAAAGTAGGGCCAGGTAGATGACTCAGATGGTAAAAAAATCTGATCACCCAGAATCCTCTGAGAACTTAGAGGATTGTGGTGGCCTGTCTGTCATCTCAGCACATGTGAGACAGAGATAAGGGAATTCCTGGCACAAGCTGATTAACCACATTAGTCAATGAGGGGAGTCCTGGGCTCAGTCAGAGACCCTGCCTCTATATAAGATAGAGAGCTGTTGAAGAAGATAGGAACCTTGGGCCTCCACACTCATATCTGTATATAACTGTATTCTTTTGGTCTTGTACTTATGGCAGATCCACAGATTCTGAAATCCTTTCATTTAACTGCAGGAGTAAAGGGAAACCATGCAGAAATCAGAGTACCCTGGAGGTGTGCAGCTGAGAAACAGAGCGACAGGTACAGAGCTTTACTCTTTCAAAGGGGTTGGTCAGGTTTCTTAATGACACACTCTGTCTTCCATGTGGATATAGGATCAGTTTCTGTTCTGTTTTTGTCTTTTGTACTGATGTTTGCTTTTTTTTTTTTTTTTTTTTTTTCTTTCTAGGCATTTATGATCAAAGGACATCCTTAAGCTCACAAATAAAATGCAAAACTACAGTTCAGCGGAGCAAATCCTCCTCATTAACCAGTTCTCCAGAGGCTACAAGGAGGGCTCATCCTCGGCCAAGTGATAAACTCAACCCTAAAACAATTAATCCTGTGAGTACAGATTCCTCAAGTAGTCCATTTTTTCCAGGCAATAGGCCTTTAGCTGATTACAGTTTAACCATTCTTAATACCCTCATGGTTTTTGTTTTTGCTAGTTTTGAGCTAGTCATGCTAATTGTTCTGTTGTGTTCTGAACTGTATATCAGTTGTTGTTTTTCCTACCCTCCTTCCTAATGTCAGTGAGCTAGCTTGCATTCAGTTGTTGGAGGAGGGCTTACTCATGCGCTTCTGTGTGCACATAAAACTGTAACCATTCATTTATGTTCTACAAATTTGGCCCACCAGAAACCATACTATAATCTTCTGTTTAATAGGAGGGTAAAGCCAGTTTGGAGAAGTTACTCAGAAAATCTACATATGTATACTTGGCTGATGGGCATGCAGGACATACAATGCTCACTAAAAGCAAATGCCCTTAGTGCCACTTGTATAATCTAGAACATGCATTTAGATACATGTTTATAAGACTTGTTCCTGATCTTGGTTCTACCAAGCCCATTCCCATGTCTTATAGAAGCATATAGCCAGTTTGGAGAAGTTAAATAGATTTTCTGGTCTTTATATATCAATGCTTGGCCTGAGGGTGTGTGGGACGTACAATCATGGGTGAAAGCAAATCTCTATTCTCCCTATTCTTTATTTGGACTGAGAGAGAAAGTGGAAAGACATTTTGGTCTATGTATGGTTTCAGCCATGTGCAAACTTTTGAGTCAAATTAGAGGCTGAAGAAAAACAGATCCAAGACTTTGTTGGGTGTTTTTCTCAGTCCTGTGGCTGATGAGCAGAGGACTGCACACCCTGACGCAGTGGGGGTTTGGGAGTAAGGGAACTTCTTTTTTCCACTGATCCCAGCAGGATTGAAATCAAAGTGTCAGTACGTGGAGGTGGTGGTGATATTTTCACTTTTCAATTTCAGTTCGGTGAACAGTCTCGAGCCCCTTCTGCGTTCGCAGCTATTTACTCTAAAGGCGGCGTTCCGTGCAGGTAAAGTCAGTACAGTGCCTAGCTGACTGTGCTTCAGAGCAATCGAATGAAATCAATATATTATTAAGTTTAAACTTGTTGAAAATTTATTTACTTTGAGTTTGAAATTAAGGTGACTTATTACCTCGAATGTTGAATTGGTATAGATCCCTGGACATTATTGACAAAAAACATGTCAACTCCAATATGTAATTACTAAGAGCTGTAGTAAAACACAAAACAACTTAAGAAATTAATTTGAACTGAATGTACCATTTTTGGTACAACTAATTTAAGCATTCATAGGCTTCCACAATTTGAAATAACATAAAAATTAAAAACAAAACCAAACAAAAACCTCATCTCTCTCTTTGATAATGTAAACACTGGCCAGGGCAGTGAAATATTATTTCTCAGTATATATGAATACTTTTGCTCCTTTTTGAATAAGTTCTTGATTTTTTTTTCATAGAATGTTCAGTTTTACCTTGTTTTTCATGGTAGAAAATTGTATTTATTTCATAGAAGGGGTAACTATAACATCACTTTTTATGAGTAGTTCTGAAATTTCAAAATATCTATTTTTAAATAGTATCTTCAAATTTGGAGTGAAAAATAAGCTAAAGAAGTGTTCTTCAATTTATTATTATTATTTCATTCTTAGATTCTAAATTAAAGGGTTAGAGAGGTAGCTCAGGAGATGGAGTGTTACCTACCATGCATGCATGAAGCTCTGACTTTGATCTCCACAACACTTTGTAAATTTGACATGATCATGTATACCTGTAATCCTGGCACTGGGCTGGGGAAGGAAGTGGGGGGGTCACTGTTGGCTATCTGGTAGGGTTGAGGCCAGCCTGGTCTATAGGAGACCCTGTTGCTGTCATTTACACAGACACACACACACACACACACACACACACACACACACAAAGATTGAGGCTTTGTTGTTTTTTTTTTTTTTAAGTTCTTGAGCATCTTGAGGCATACTCAAGCATACTTTTCCCCAGAGTAATTGAGATTTGATGAAAATGTAAAAAGTTACCCTTCTGAAGTCTCTTGCTGTTATGGATATAACACTGAAGGAGTCTGTAAACATAGCAGAATATCGTTAATCGTGTCAGGGGTTGGCACTTTCCCATGGGGTGGGTCCCAGGCTGAGCCAGGCATTGATTGGACATTCTCTCACTCTCTACTCTGTCTTTATCTCTGCACGTCTTGTAAGCACCAGAAGTCCTGTCTAGTAGCTGATTGACTCAGATGCTGAGATGCACAGCCAAGCTTAGGCAAAGCTCAGGGAGTCCTGTGGATGAGTGGGAGGTGGGGAAGATAGAAGGACCAGGAGGAGACAAGAACACCACAAGAAGACTAACAGAGTAAACTAACCTAGACCCATGGGGGCTTACAGAAAGGGAAGCACCAATCAAAGAACAGACATGGACTGTACCTAGGCCCCTACACATTAGTAACCAATGGACAGTTTGATGTTCATGTGGATACCCTAGTAAGTTGAGCAGGTACTGTCTGTGACATGGACTCTGGCCTGCTTTTGATTACTTTGCTGTAGTTGATTACTTGCTTGTCCTCAGTGGATGAGGAGAAGCTCAGTCCTGATATGACTTGATTAGCTGGGATGGGTTGTTGTTGGTGGGGACTTCTCTTTTCTGAGGAGAAGAGGAGGGAAGAAGGGACTGAGAGGAGAGGACTGAGGGCCTATGATTGGGATGTAAAGTGAATATATAAATTAAAAATAAGAGGGAGGAGATTAAGGAGGGAGGGTGGGATTGGGAGGGAATGAGGGAACGGGATACAGCTGGGATACAAAGTTAATAAAATGTAACTCAAAAATAAATAAATTTTAAAAATATGATTATAAAAAAGATTATGATACTTCTGTATGCCACAAAATAATTCTACTACATCTCTATTCTAGGAATAATGTTGTGTTACAAGCTCCCTGCTTATTCATGTTTGTGGGGTTTGCTGTTAAATTTGCTTACTTTTGTTTTTTAGATTGGTACATGGCTCAGTAAAACACAGATTACAGTGGGAATGCCCTCCTGAAATTCTTCCATTTGACCCTCTTCTAATTACATTAGCGGAGGTAAAATATCCTAGCTCTCCTGAGTACTAATAGAAAAAAATATTTTAAAATGTAATTATTATTTTATAGCTTATAACTACATATTAATCTATACTTTTAAAATAAATATCAAGTGATAGGCACTAAAATATTGGGCTCTAAGCAAGTAATTGTAATTGTTTTATATATATATGTGTGTGTGTGTGTGTGTGAATATATAAGGCATTATGCACATACATACACACACATATATAATAAATGAATTAACCAGTCTTAATGAAATTCTGACAGGAATTTATAACTAAATGAAATAAATGGTATACCATACTTAGTTCTATTTTAGACATGTTTTTTTTCCTTCATTCTTCTCTCATGTATGATTTCCCTTTCCTTCTCTCCTCACTCACTTACTACCCCCAAAATCTACTCATCTTTCATTTTCCTTCAGAAAGGAAAGACTCCTAGAGATAGCAAAGCATAACAAGTTACAATAAGACCAGGCACAAACCCTCATATCAAGACTGTGTAAGGCAACCCAGTAGGAGAAAAAGGATTCCAAGAGCAGTCAAAAAAACCCCTCCACTTCTACCATTAGGAGTCTCAAAAAAACACCAAGCCACACAGCTATAACATGCAGAGGACCTAGTACAGGTTCATGTAGGCTCTGTGATTCAGTCTTTTATATAGAATAGCAAACCATGTTTTAGACTTATCAAAACTGGCAATATATTACATAGTCCAAATGGTTAGGGTGTGTAAGTACTTAATTTAACAATCATTCAAAGGCTTCTGCCTTCATAACTCATTAAATACCCCCTTCTAAAACATTTTATTTATTTGTGTGTTTGTTGTGGGAGTGTGTGGGGTTAAGTGTGGGTGTTTGTGATTATAGCTATTAGAGGACAACTTCAGGGAGTTGGTTCTCTCTTTATACCATATAGGATCAGAGATTAAACTCAGGCCCTAGGGTTAGTGGGAACTGCCTTGACCTGCCAAGGCATCTCAGAGGTCAAGATTCATCTTGTGTTTGTGCCTGTGGCCCAGCATCAGGACACTTATTTCTGTACTGAGTAGCAATTTACTTTCTTCTTCTCCTCACTTAATAATCGGGAAGGAATACAGACAACTATTGAGATACATTTCAGCTTTGACTTTCAAGTCTCCATCTTGAAAATGAATGAGATAGGACAAGTACTGAGCCTGTCAGAGAGTGATTTGCCATGTTGGTGATTTTGTTTATGACAGTGAGAAGGAGACATTTGACCACTGTTAGGAAGCATGTACTCAGGTCAAGTTGACAAAATATTGAAAATCGGCACTTGTAACTTGACTTCGTAACTGGTTATTTGGACCTGCTTCACAGGTAGATCCAAGAGCACTGCTGCTGCTTCCTCTTTGCTTGGTTTGATCCCTTTCAGAATTTAGATGGTCACTTTTTGTCTTCTCATGGTGGCTGGCAAAGCATGGAGTGCTGACCGTTCTTTTCTAAGGCACTCAGGAAGAAAGGCACAGTGAACATTGTTGAACAGAGATTGTTTTCTAATTTTGCTCCACTGAACAGCAGACTCAAGTTCTGACAGTGCTCATCCCAATAGTGTAGGGTCTGCCTTCTTAATATCTTAGTGTTTTTAAGTGTGAAGGGTTAGGTTGTTGGAAGTCACTGAGCACACCCAGCATCCGATACAGAGCACAGAATGAGCAGTTTCCTACCCTCCAATGTTTCTCAAGAAGTCACCTCAGGGTCCTCCCGACTCCCTTATCTTCTTTCACTAGTAACTTTCCCCGCACCTTATCTCCCCTTATCTGTCCTTGTTTGAACTTTTTCTTTTTTAACCCTTTAGTTTTTTCTTTCCTTCTTGTTGTTCTGTTGCTTTTCCTTTTCTTGCTTTCTTTTTTTCTCTTTCCTGTGAGACTGGAGGCTTCTGTATTGTATATATTTTGTGATATGATTTCTCGGTATAATTCAAATTATAATTGCTGAAATTGCTCATTGTGATTAGAAAAAGGTTAAACAAACTTATAGTTTCACTTATGCTAGACGTATTGAGTTTTGTGGTTGGTAAAATAATCAAAAAGTCCTAATCATGTTTCTCTGTTTATATTGTCTATGGCAGGGCCTGAGGGAGACTAAGCATCCTTATACCTTTGTGTCAAAGGAGGGCTTTAGGGAGTTACTTCTGGTCAAGGGTGCTCCTGAGAAAGCTATACCTTTGCTGCCTAGACTGATCCCTGTGCTGAAGGCAGCTCTGGTAAGTCGCCTATTTCACTGGGCCTCATTATCCCAATTACACACTATAGATGTACACTCTGATACAAAGACCATTGTCTGTTCCTCTCCTCCCACATATTACATGGAAATGGGTGCTTTACCTGTCGGTTTGAAAGGCGTGTGCAAGGTCAAACCATTGTTATTTAGAGTCATATGGTTATGCACTTGACCCTTTTAGAGACCCTGGGAGTGAAAGGGAATCTTTGGGGCAATTAGAGGAGATAACCTCAGCTGACTCTGTGTGATAGGTGGATATTAGTAACTGCTCGTATCTAAGGGACATTGTTTTACCTCTGGATACACCGCCTTAAAGCTTAGTTCTAAAATTCTGGTTGTTGATCAATTTGTAGAATTAAATTCTTAATCCTGCTTATCCTTTTCCCTAACCTGTCTTCATTTTCATTTTTCCCTATTTGTCCCTTCAAATTTTTCCCCATTTATACCAGTGAACATGTCTCATTGAGTTATAAATGTACCAATTCTCATAGAAAATCTATTCTGAAAGTAGGAAGTAAAATTATACACAAAGGGCCATGGAAAATGACCAAATAACAGAATCCAGAGGCCCTTTCGTAGGGTTGTAGAGGCTTTAATTCTTCCTGTTAACTGTCCCCAGGTTCATTCTGACGATGAAGTGTTTGAAAGAGGACTGAATGCACTTGTGCAGCTGAGTGTGGTTGTTGGCCCATCTCTGAATGGCCATCTGAAACTTCTGCTTACAAGTGTGAGTACTGCACAGAGGAGAGGAGCTGTGCATATCTCTATATCGCAGCCTTTAGATCAAATACTGCCCGAGCTCAAATTCTTTTCTTTTTAATTTTTTAATTTTTTTAATAGTAGTTACAGTATATTAACTTTGTATCCCAGCTGTACCCTGTTCCCTCATTCCCGCCCATTCCCACCCTCCCTCCCTCATCTCCTCCCTGCCCCTTTCCAAGTCCACTGATAGGGGAGGACCTCCTCCCCTTTCATCTGACCATGGTTTATCAGGTATCTTCAGGACCGGCTGCAAAGTCCTCCTCTGAGGCCTAGCAGGGCTGCTCCTCCCTCAGTTGGTGGGGGGGGGGGGTCAAAGAGCCCGCCATTGAGTTCATGTCAGAAATAGTCCCTGTTCCCCTTACTAGGGAACACACTTGGATACTGAGCTACTGTGGGCTACATCCGAGCAGAGGTTCTAGGTTATATGGTATATACTCATTTATATAGACCTATAAGATAGGATAAACATACTAAAATCTATATACCTAAAGAAGATAAACAAGAAAGAGGACCCGGGGTAAGATGATCAATCCTCACTTAGAATGGGATGGACATTGGATGTAGGAGAAAACAAGTAACAGGACAGGAGCCTACCACAGACGGCTCCTGAAAGACTCTACCTAGCAGTGTATCAAAGCAGATGCTAAGACTCATAACCAAACCTTGGGCAGAGTGTAGGAAATCATATGAAAGAAGGGGGAGTTAGTATGACCTGGAGAGGACAGGAGCTCCACAAGGACCAAATATATCTGGGCACAGGGGTCTTTTGTGAGACTGTTTCTCTAACCAAGGACCATGTATGGATAGAACCTAGAACCCTTGCTCAAATTCTTAAAATCATATTTCCTGTCATGTTATAACATACCTGTCAGAAGGAACCAAATGGTAGGAAAGATTTGTTTGGGCTCAGAGGTCCACAGGTGTGAGTTCTTCATGGCAGGAAGGATGTGATAGCATGGAGCAGCTGACTTCTGAGTGGGCCTGAAGCATGGATGGTCTATGGGAAGGGCCCAGGTTCTCAGCAAACTTTCCAACTAAACCCCACCTCCCATTCACCGCTTCTCAATGATGCTATCACATGAAGAACCCAAGGACAAGGATCAGTGCACTCCTTGGTGAGAGCCTCATAATTTAATCTCTCTGGAAAAATCCTCTCACACAAACCAGGGGCTTGCTATATTTACCTGGATATTATTCTGTCCAGTCACTTTGACAGTCCATGTTAACAATTACCATAACCAGGAAGTGCAAAGTAGATGTAGGTCACAGAATATTTTAGTAGCAGACAGTGCCTTTCTAATTTTTTCTAATGGACTAAGCTTACAAAGCTGACTTTAAGTTTATAATAAAAAGTGCTCAGCATCATTTTATTAAACCTGTGTAGAATATGTTTCCAAAATGTTTGCCAGGGAATATGGCTTATTTTTGCCAAAATGTCTTGGTCATTGTCTGCAGAAATGCATGTATTTTATGGGGCTCTTGGTACAGTTGCTCATGACTTAACTCCATACCCCTGCTTCTCTGTTAGAGCCTATGATACTTTCTTCACCTATGCTCTCCTTTTTAAACAAAGTTCTTTGTGTTTAGTATGTAAACAGAGATAAGCGGTCTTGTGGTTTCTAGTCTGATTTCCTTTGTCAGTTACTTTTCAACTTTTTCCCTCTTATTGTTGGTCAATGTGTGTTTTGGAGGTATAGCTTTCTATCCTATTTCTCTGCATGGACTTGCATGTTGACAAAATGGAAAAGTATGCCATGGTTTTGTCAACTTAATTTTTGTGTGAGTACATGTGTCTGTTTTTCTGTTGCTGCGAAAGCACGTGTGTTTGTATGTCTGCACATGTGCATGTATGTGGAATGCAGAGGGCAGTCTCTGGTGTTTTCCCCAGCAGTACTGCCCCCTCCTATAAGGTGGATTTTCCATCTGCCTGAAGCTCACCAGTTAGGCTACACTGTCCAGCTAATGAAACTCTGGTGTCTGCCTCCTCAGTGTGAAAATTATAAACGTAAGCCACCATGCCCAGCTTTTAATGTGAGTATTGGATACTGAAGTCAGTCATTTCCCTAGCCCCAGGAAACGTATTGTAGCAGACAGTATGAGATAGGTAGTACTTGAAATGACACAAATTCAACCTTTAACCAAATGGCATATTGTTCCATGTAGATTTTAGTGAAGCATTTACTGAAGCCCTTTGGGTTCTTAAATTAAGGCATACTCAAAAGATATTTGTGCTTATAGCAAAATTTGTTTGTTTGTTTGTTTTTACCCTCCCCTTACCTCAATCTTCAAAAGCTTTCCAAGAGGCTAATGGACAAAAAATTCAAAGAGCCCATCACCAGTGCCTTGCAAAAGCTGGAGCAGCATGGTGGGAGTGTAAGTAGAATGCCGTGGTGGAGCTGTGCCCTGCTTCTGTATACCTTACTTTCAGTCCTATTAGGAGAATCCATATGTGGTTAGCATGTGTTAAGTCATGGAAGGTGCAAGCATAAATGTGAAAGTTTCTGGCTTTTCCTCTTTTAGGCTAAGAGTTTGTTTTGTTGGGATGGTACAGTTTTTAAGATGACTTCTCCAGAACCAGGCTGGGTAAATGCAGGCCCTTGTACTTTTGTGGCAGTCTTGGTGGCACATTCTCAATTTTCTTTTTAAACTATTGAGATGTTTTGTTTCAACCTGGGAGAAGGCCTGAACAAGGATGACTAGCTGATCCCAACCCCATTTTTAAAAAAATTATATTTATTTATTTTTGTACTTGTCTGTACTATGGAGAAATTCCAGGTCCTTGTGTATGCTCACAGGTACTGCCCAAGCTACCTACACTTGTGGTTCTCCATTCTCCTTTAATCAGTCTTCTTTTCTTCCTCTTAGTTTTAGAATCTCACTTTAGAAGTAAATGCCACTTCCACATTAATGTAGAACATACATAAGAGTTGATCTCATTTTTTCTCTCAACTTTTCAAGGGGAGGAATATGGGGACTTCATTACTATATGATGTCAGGAAGATTAATTGAAGTTTTATACTTTGAAAGACGTATTCAGCTAGTTAGCTTAACAATCAAGAACTTTAATTTTTTGTATTTTCTACAGTTTATTACAAATGAATGTATGAAGTTGTATTAAATATTTTGCTGGCCATAAATTAAGTAGCTAATTCTCCTAACTTTAATAATCTTTGAATTCCAAATGTTGTTTTTGTGATGAACACATAAAGTTTATGCAGATGAACTAAGCCTCAAAGGGGCTGTTAGAGAATGCATTTCTTTGTTGCATTTAAGTTCTAGGTAGGAGATTGATATTCAAACACTGAGGATATGTACACAACCAGTTCCTGCCAGTACAGTGACTCTGTTTCTGATTACTTATTTGTAAATATTACCCTAGAATCAGAATCCCAGACATACTTACCCTTTCCTCCTGTGAAATGCAGATTAACAGATGGTAAATAATGATGAAAGCTTTTTAAGCTGGACCTTTCCCTAGATGGTTGTCTGCCTCCAGGGGACCATTTTAGGGTGCAAATCAGGAAAAATAGAGCCATCACGTGACATTTATGGACGTTTGTGTTCTGGACAGGGGAGTTCTGATGACAGCTGCACGGTGTTATTTGGAGCTGGCCTGCAGAGGATGTAGTTGGCCAATCCAAGAGCCGAGAGAGGGGGGTCGCCCCTTGATGTCACTCAGTATTACCAGCTTTTCATATTGCTAATATTGACTGTATAAAGAAAAAAGGTTATGGTTATAAGGGATCTTACCCAGCCTTCTTCACTAGCCCTTGTGTGTCTTTCATAATATTTTAGTAATAATTGGTATCATTGAAAGAAGAAAAAAAAAAAAAAAGGTTTACCAGGGGATAGAGAGGTGTCTCAGAAGTTAAGAGCACTTTTTTTTAAGAGTTGCTTTTTCAGAGAACCTGGGTTCAGTTCTCTGCACTCACACGGTGATTCACAACCTCCTGTTCCAAAGGGACATGACACTCTCTTGCTAGCTTCCTTGGGCAGGAGGCATGCACATGGTACAGAGACAAAACACTCCTACCCATATCATTTATACATCTTACTCTTTTTTAAAAGCTTTGTATTAGAAATAACCCAGGTGCCGCTCTTCTGGATTGATTAGTGCTATGCCAACTGTAGACACTTTGGTATTCTCCGAGAATGTAAGAAATGCTCCTTTTTCTTTTCCAAGAACTTAAAAACATATTAAGTTTCTTTAATAGCAATGAGTCTTTAAAAATTATTGGGCCTGGAGAGATGACTCATTGCCTAAAAACACTGCCTGCTCTTCCAGAGGACACAGTCTGTTCCCAGCACCCATACAGTGGCTCACTACCACAGAAGATCTAATGCCCATTTCTGGCCTCTGTGGACACTCCACACATGTGGTCTACAGACATATGTTCAGGCAAGACACCAATACACATAAAATAAAAATAAGCAAAGCCTAAAAAAGAGTAAGAATTTTTAGTTTCAAGAGTTTCCTATTTCTTTTGACTTTTATAGATTATAATAATATGAGTGTTCAACTACTGGGGAAATGAAGACATTTGTTACAGACACAGAGATGCCTTCTTATAAATAATCTTTACCAGTCTTAAGTTGAAACATTTTTACAAATATACAATTTAGTTTTTGTTCTCAGCAATATTCATTCTTCTTTGTCTTGGGAAAGGCAAATGTGCCACACTCCACTTTAGAGTATGTGAGAACTGTGAAAAGTACTCTACAGAATGGGTCATAACTATTTAACTATTTTGGTCTCCAGTATGAGCCTCAGAGGTAGACTTTGATACTATCTCCCTTTAAATCAGAGTATTGGGTGCAGAGAGCTAATTAACCCAGGTGTGCTCGTGGAGTGCAGGGAAGATAACTGTAAATACTGCGCTGACTCCTCACTGCTTCGGTATTTACTTTAAGGTTGTTATCCCTGTTTGATTTCCGCCAGAGAAACAGTTCTACTCATTTTGTAATTTTGTCTTTTTTATTTTGAGGATGGTGAAGTTAGCTCTCCATAATTGATGGCTTCTTGTGTGGTTGTGGGAAGGGGATGACTCAGTTCTATTTAAGGGGCAGGACACTGAGAATTTTACCATGCTCCAGTGATTATATATCTGTCACAAATTGGACTTGTTTTATTTTTTAATTTTTTTTTTGGGGGGGGTCACAAGGATGGAGGGAACAACACTTGTAAATATAGTGTCTACTGAGGTAACTGTGTGTTCTAATGCCAGTGTTTTGTTTTGTTTTTTCTGTTGTCAGGGAAGTCTTATCATCATCAAATCCAAAATCCCAACATATTGCTCTGTCTGCTGTTGAATAAGGGAACCAACAAAACCCATGCTGCTTCCTCAGGCACTGACAGTGGCTGCCTGGACCTTGCCTCAATTCACATCACTGACTCATAGTACCATTCATTCATTAACTAGGTTACGAGGACCATGTCAAGTCCAGGGGAATCATCGTCCAAGCTGTTTGTCAACAAAAAGCACAGGTGCTATAAGGCAATTAAAATAGCTTGTATAAAAGTTGAGTTCTATGGGAGTTTCTTTTTTTTTTTTTTTAAGAGGGTAGCATCCCTCTTAAATTAAATCCCTATTTAATGTTTCTTTCTTTATTATTTATTATAATTTATTCACTTGTATCCCACTTGTAGCCCTCTCCCTCATCTCCTCCCAATCTTACCATCCTTCCCTCATCTCCCCCCATGCCCCTTTTCAAGTCCACGGATAGGGGAGGTCCTCTTCTCCTTCCCTCTGTTCAAAGTTTGGCTAGGTCCCAGGCTCTGCTTTGATATAATGCTGGGTAGGGTCTTTGTGTAGGCTCCTGTGGTAGACTTCTGTCCTGTTCCCTCTTTCCTCCCTCTTCTGATGTCCATCCCGTTTGCCTTTCTGAATGAGGATCTGTGGGAGTTTCTTGTCTTTGTCATCTGTGTGAGTTTACAAATCATAGCTGTGTGTATTCAAAAGCATTTTTACTTAGGGCCTGTCTGAAGATCACCTTGTAGCTGTGCCCTTATTATGTAGCTTGATTTTGGCCATTTCGTTGTTTTTATATTATCGAGACTGAAAAATTTAATATAGCAAGTGAACATTTGTGGCTTCACTATTAGCTGGGATGTGTAAATGTGTATTTTATAATTGGAATGCTTGGGAACATTTCTTTCCTGAATATTCTAGTTTAAAAAATAACTTGTTTTAATGTGAAAATTCTATTACAAGTGTGTTGTTTGTTACAACTTTTTAATACTACCTAAACTTTAGGTGTTATTTGTATTTAACTAAATGTTATTTTTGTATTTTTTAGCATGAAAATATATATACAGATATTCAGAAATTAAAATCTTAAAACTTCCATGTATCCAGTAATATTTATTTGTGTTTCACAGTTACTTGTTTTGTTAAAACATAATTTATGAATTCAGCGCACAGTTTCTGATGAGATGGAAACTTACTCTAGATCATTCTGCAAAAGGAAGGAGGAGAGGAAGAGAAATAGAAAACAGAAGTGAGGTCTTCCTTTTCACTGAAAGGAAGTAGGATCTCACCTAGGGACTTGGATAGCCACACACTGGGAAGCATGGAGACAGGCAGTCCCTATGTTATGTGACAGCATCTGCATGCCCTGGAAACACCAGATGATTCTCTCCCCTGTTCTCTCCCACAGACACCTGTTCGACCCTTTAGCAATTCTTGTTCCGGGTAGCTGACAGCTATCAGTTGAAAGAGTACAAGCAATTACTGAGGCACCTTGCAGATATGCCCATTCTTCACCAGGTGTTTTGCTTCCTGGGTCCTCTCTTTTGTCAGGTGTACAGTACCTTGGCACCTTCTAAGACCATGCTTGCTACAGCACCTGCCTGACCTCTGTCTTGCTTTGTGTTTTCTCTGTGGGCAGCACTTCCCAAGGATAGTGACAACCTAGTTTTAGTCTAGCAATTCATTATTGAACTTGTTTGAGCATAAAGACCTGAGGCAGACACATAGAGTAATAAACACTTTATTTTGCTTTTATTTTTCCTTTTTGAGATACAAAATGTGCACATTGAGTTTACACAAACACACGATGGCAGATTTCAGTGTACATGTACTGTACTACTCTTAATTCCTACACTGGTGATAGCAGGGCAGCTTTCAACATCCTCTCTCTACACCAGAATAGATACCTGATTTATTGCAGACAGTTGCAAATTCTCTCCTCCTGTATCCTCTTGGTTCTTGTGGCATTTCTACGAAACAGGGAAGATGTGAGTATCTATAGTACTGTTGTGGCAACTCTACAGTTTTGGCTTACAGTCATTAAAAGGAATGTGAATCCTTTGAGTTATATGATGAGTAAAATCATAATGCAATTCAGAAAAATGTCCAGTGTTTGTTTTTATTTTCTGTATAATCTTATGTAAAATTTCCAATGTGATAGAATCAATGGTGTTTTCAAAGATTATTTTGATTGATCTTCATTCCTGGTAGGCTTTGGGCAGGATTCTCTGTCCCTGAATGGCTTATGATAAACATGCTGTGAGAACATTAGGGTTTCGGGGGCGGCTAGAATTGCCCTTTACTGCTGTTAAGGTTACTTGTTAATAAGCATCGCTAGGTTTTGCAGGACAGACATCCGGACCCTTTGCAAGTCTGTAAACATCCTTGGTTTTTATAACACTTTGAATTTCTACTTTATGACACAATACAAAACAGTCTACAGGTAAGATCGAACAGGTCCAAAGTTACATGGATTATGTAGAGCCTTGGCTTAAATATGGAAAATTAATAAATACTAAAATAATCTCATTAGGTATATGCTAACATCTGATAATAAACTAATTTTTAAATGTGCTTAAAAAATGCCGAATACATTAATGTCTTTAACAGCAAGTGGACAAACCATAGAAATTAACACTGTGGTTTTGGCCTTTTTTATTTGTAGTAATCTTTGTTTCTCTTGTCAGTGTTATATGAATCTAATTAAAATAAAGTTTATTAGCTTTCTGGAAGTTAAATGCAGATGTAAATATTTTAGAAAACCATTTTAAATCCAGGACTGAATATATACAAATGAGTGAAAAACCCATTGGTTTTTAAAATCACTGCTCTGTGAAAGCCTCAATAATACCTGGCTAAGGATCAAAGCTCTTATAGACCCTGTGCCTTTTGAATATTCTCAGAGTATGAAACAAGTTAGCACATTTCATGACCCCAGTGATGTTGTGGAAAAGATGCAGATTTGTAAGTGGAAAACCTAAATTTTTTTTGGGGGGGGTGTTTTATATTAAAACAAAGCTGATTGCATAATGTGCCTCAGTGTAAAGCTGAGCAATCTATGCTAGAAGTGGTAGCTCCATCTTGTAAGTGTGTAGAGTAGTTCACATTTGCCTCTTCAGTCGAGGATGTGCTGACACGTTAGATGACGTTTTCGAAGAGCTGCATGGAGCGCATTATGTTTTCATCCTGTAAGGGTGAAACAGAAGGAAATTATTTGCGGTATCTGTAGGGGAAAGTACTGCTGTACTCTATGCTCTTCAGGAGCTGCTCTGTGATGGTGAGTGTATCTGCTCTTCATCCTACATACAAATAAGTTATTTTATGCTTTCTTGAATATGCCTTTAGATACGTCACTTACATCTTACTTGGTACTAGACCAAAGTATTTCTCAACTAATGTCAGAATGGAAACAGTGAGTGTGATGGCTGATCTTGGCTGTCACCTGCACCTGGGATCTACTGAAAAGCTCCTGGGCAGTCCTGTGATGGGTCTTCTTGACGGAATTACTTGAAACATGTAGATCCACCCTAAACTGGGGTGGCATCAGGAAATGGATGAGAGAAACTTTGACTTTTACCCGCTGGCTGCCAAGTTCACCTATCCTGTCGCTACAGTCTTTCTTCCCTAGCATTCAGACCACCTTCCTCTGGATTTCAGCATAGTTTGCAGGTCAGCAGATCTCCAGACATATTTTAGAACTCTAGTGCCATATAGGGACAATGCATAGACATGCAGCCTAGTGGTCTAAAGAACTACAGATTCTCAGTCTCTCCAGTATGAGTCAGCCATTGTTGAACTACTGAACCATGAGCTTTAAGAAATTATCCAAAGAGAACAAATGAGAACTTTGGCATTTCAGGTAGATTGTGCCAGAGCACAAAGTATCCATGTTTGAGAAGAATCAATGTTTACAGTCATTTTACCTCTTTAGATGTCAGCTACTGCTAAACCTATGTGCCCTGTAGGAATCTTTAAAACTGTTTTTGAATGCTAGAGATTGGTTAGGACAAACCATTGCACAGTGGTTGTGTTCAGCCTGTTTCTTAGACATGAGCTAGGGTGGCAGTTTGGACTGTTGAGGAACACTTCTGCACTGTAGATGAACTATGTTTATTAGTGGTGAGTCACAACTAAAGCAATGGTGCTTCTTCCACTGCCCCAATTTAGGTTACATCACAACTAAGGGGGATGACATCACCACTTAAAAGCTCCAGATGTTGACTTTGAGAGGTGAATTGAGAAATGAGTAGGCATCAGGAAAGTTGAAAATGAACAGTTGGAGGGGGAAAAACAGCTGAAACACCAGAAAATGTTTCTCCATGCTTATTAATTTGTTATTATGGCTCTACTCATGCATTGAGTTGAATCAGTCTAGGTGAGCTAAATCTAGATTTACAGATACTACATATCTACTAGATTTCTCTTCAGAATATTTTGCTCTTTATTTTCATAACTGGAGACAAATATTGGATTCAGATAAAATGTTACTTTTTTCCACATATATTAAATCAATGATACTTTGCTGAGGACCTAAGTTTGATCTGTGAAACTCATGATGGGAAAGGAAAGAATCCATTCTTGCAAGTTGCCCTCTACCTTCCACATGTGTGCTGTGGTATGTTCCTTTCCAATATACAAATACACACACAAAATTTAAAACAAAAGACAAATATAAGCTTCCAGATTTCTTTGCACTAGATTTCTGATTCTGTGGTGACACAAATGTAACATGTTTTAGAAGAACTATGTCGGGGAAAGAGTAAAGCCTTATTTTTTCCTTATGTATGTCCATGTGTACGTCTGTGTGTAGGTCTGTGAACACAAGCCTGCAGGGTCTAGAGGAGGATGTCAGATCCCATAGTGCTGGAGTGACAGGCCCTTGTAAGTTTCCTGACCTGGGTGCTGGGAACCAGACTATAAGGTGAGGAACAAGTGCTCCTAGCTACCTCTCCAGCTCCAGAATCAGTAATCTAAATCCACGTGGTTTTGTTTGGTTGGCAGTAATGAGTCCCCTCTAAAGGTTTCCAGAGTCAAAGGGAGTGCGTGAGTAATTTTCACCTCAGTATTGGCATGCTATCAGATTGCATGTGCACATAAATCTGCTTGCTTTCAAGGGACAAGACTGTCCCATTGTTAGCTTATGCACTTGATTTATATTTTGCTTAGTTCACGTTGCCTAATAGGCTGTGCTCCTTTGTAGCTGATGCTATGAAAGGAATAGTGCTTTTCCTTACTTACTTTCTGGCAACTTTCAATGAACTCATCTATGGTAACGACACCATCTTTATTTTTGTCCATCTTCTGTTGAGAAAGAAAAGAAAAAAGCATCGTATTGACATGCCCTTTGATAGCCTCTCCATACCCAGTAGATTCAAAGAGATAAGAATATAGCCTATAATTTTTGTGTTACATAGGGCAATTACATGCTGGAGGAACTAGTGACTTCCTACAATGGCCAAATTGTTGTAGGTTGTGATTTTCCTCTATGTAATATGAGGCATGAATCACCTAAACTATTTTCTAAATATGACAGGACTCACACAATTTGCTAAATGTAGAGACTTGAGTCTCTGCCTCAGGAGAGGAGTATTGAGGATTTGTTATCTTTAAGAGCCTTGTGGAACCTGTATGACATCACTTTGTGAAATAAAAGAATGGTTTACTCGGGGTACTGTCACTCTTCTGAATGTACAACTGTCTGTCATCACAAATTAAAAAACCCAAATTATGAAATCATAAGGATATTTGTCCCTGTGAATAAATATTCTCCTTTGCAGTTTTTGTTGTTGTTGTTTGGATTTGTGGTTGTTGCTGTTTGGTTTTGGTTTTTTTAGTTAGTTTTTTTTTTTTTAAATCAACATTTGTTTGCTTGCTTTTTCCAAGTATCAAGCAATCATTTTATAACTGCCCTCCCTCCCTCAAATTTTTCATTCCCACCTGGAAAAAGGTCTCCACATGCTGTCGGGGAGCATCTTCTTTAAGGACAGGATATGTGCATTTTCCCATCATGTCATATATTGCTTTCATTATGTCCAGCATTTCCTGCAATGGAAAGGCACTCGTGTGAGGCTGCACACCCAAGTGTGAAGACACCTATCTAAGATGCATTAGGAGGTTTTGTGCATAGTGCTTTATTTGCTTCTTTCTTAAATTCTTTATGAGGTGCTTTTTGCTTAGCCTGCGGCCAACAAACAGCCTTTTGCTCCAAAGCAGTGGCATCCAAATGTAACACTTTTGAGGGCTCCAGTTTGAAATGAATCAGATTCCTATGTATCTCATTTGGTTGGGAAAGAAATTGTCTGACTTAATGCTTTGATTTTCAAAAACTATATAGACTTTGTTTTATTGATCCATTACAGATTTGATTGCCAATTTCTATTTATTAGAAATATTTTATATTTAGAACTAAAATTAACTTCTAATTACAGCCATTTAGTAAAAGTCCTTGTAGTATTTAATCACTTTTTTTCTATTTTGGCTTTAACTAAAGAAGTCACACAAGAATACAAATTCCCATGTTTTGACTAGGAAACACCTTAACATTTTGTTAGCTTTTAAAGTAAAATCTAGTTTTTGCCATGCCATTTTACTCTTATAAAAGGAAAAAAAATAATATCTAACTACTTAAATGTTCAGATTTAATATCTGACATGAAACACATCCTAGATTAGGCAAATGACACAGTTCTATTTATATTTGCCTTTGAGGGAATGGATTAGATGATAAAGCAATTTGTAAAAATAAGTGAAAAATTAAAAGGTGTTTTTAACAGATAAGTGGTAAAATAAAATGTAGGCAAACTTGGTTCTATTATAAACATAGAGATAAAACATTAACACTGTCTTCAGCTCTCAGCAGACAAAAGAATCATTTGAAAGGGAAGGACTGATTCTTAATGTTCTCTGGGTGCCTCAATATTATTGAGGTACTTGGGCAATGAATACTCATATCAGATATTCTGGAAGTGCATCCATTCATGAGTCAAATTTAGCACTCCTTGATAACATATAATATGACTGCAAGTACCCTCTTGCAATGACTAATCAAGCAGTGGTGTCCAATAAGGTTCATTCATGTCTTCTGTCCTGAGTCCTTTTCTCAAAAGGGACCCTTTGTTGAAACCTCGATCTGGAGAAGCTATTAATGCAGGCTGACAGGCAGGTACATCCTACACTAAGGGTGGTTACCTTCTCATCCCTTCTCTTTTGCTCTTTTAAATTGTCGTAATAAACCAACATTTTAATTTGTAAACATTTTTCATTGGTAGCTTATGTCCAGTTGTGTTTTAGAGCTCACCATTGTCCTTATCCACCCCAACAAGAGAACTACCTGCCAACCACTGAGTAATGTAGCATTGTTGGCTGTTGATTTTCTGGGACCTTTGCCCTACAAACTATTGTTCACCAAACATGAGAAGGCCTCTGTCACTCCCAAAGATCCCTGCTTTTCCCCATATCACTAGCAGAAAAAAAAAAAAAAAGGATATAACCTTTATGTGTTGTGTTTTCTTTGGAGATTTACTACAAAGGAGTCTTATCCAATTCCATTTTTTTTATTAGAATGTGTCTCATCGCTACCAGCATCACATAAAATATTTTTTACTTCCTAAAATGTGTTTTTAAAGTAATCATTAAAATTGTTTATTATTTTGAAGTTAACCAAAACTGGCTCAGAGGATAACTAAATTGGTATGCCATCTCTTACTTCTTTAGTGATGTAGCCATCTTTGTTTATGTCATACAAATTAAATGCCCAGTTGAGTTTTTCTTGTACCGTCCCTCGAAGCAAAATGGAAAGACCTTTGATGAAATCCTAAAGAGCAATAAAAAATAGAATTTAGAACTTGATAAAAATTCCCTCTTAAGTGGCTGCAGTAAAATTAACAACCCTCTGAATCATGAACATGTTTTTAAAATTACTAATGCCTTTGTAGTCTTCAATTCCTTGGGGTTCTTTGTGAGTATGAACTGTGCCCTAGCCTTTGACATTTTCATCTAATTAGAAACTAAGTTAAATTAACCATGGTACTGGAAATTTTACTTTCATGCATGATTTCACATGCAGAGAGCACACACACACACACACACACAGAGAGAGAGAGAGAGAGACAGAGAGACAGAGAGACTTTTTTTTTAAGAGATGCAGAGTATCCCTAAACAGAAAAGCTTGGATGTCAACTTATAATTGACATATAGGCAGTTGTGGAAAAACTGGATCCACACTGCATGCATCCAAACTAGAAATGTCTCTAATTTCAAATCTGCAAAAAATGAGGACAGTATTTACCTCATAAAGATTTTATGATGATTGAAAGAATTAGGATACTTTTAACAGTCCCTGGAGAGGGTATTGGCTATGAAAGTCTGTTTTTATCTCAGCTAATGTTTAAATGGATTTGATTGCAGTGAAAGGGAACCAGGTTAATCAGAGAAAATTCACGCTTATTTGTCATTATATAAAGTAAGGTCAATATTACAATGTGATTAAACTCAGGAGTGACAATCTCTTAGGAATGAAAAAGTGGGATAAATCTAAAAGTTGCCCTTTGGATGAACTTGTATCCTGTCTCCTTTTCTGCATTCCATCATTCCACCCATAGCTGTTTTGCTGTCCAAGTTTTTAAATAGTGTTTTTCTTTCTTCAGCAGTGGTGGCAAGTTAGCATACATGTAGTTGATTAATTATGAATTTGTATATGATGTCTGGTGTAAAGTCTTCTTCTTCCTAAAATAGCATTAGCTATTTCTACTCCATGAAAATTTTGTGACTCTGTATGCTATATTTATGTATATACAATCTCCTTTCTTTATATAAATGACACTTAATATGCTATCCCCATTTTATTTTTCCTCAGTTGATTAGAAAACTAAAGTTTTCTAATGAGGAGTCTGTGGTTTGCTGAGGAACAGTGATATTCCATTGTGATATGTTTACATTTAGTGGTCCATGCAGCAATCAGGAAGTCCAACACCATCCCTGGCTCTAGTGATAAAACATAGCCTGGACATGTCACCTCTTTGGCCAACACCATCAGATCTGTGGCTTGATATGTTACTGAACCTAGGCCAAGGTTAAAAGTGATTTGGAGGGCCTTGGATGCTTGTAAGGAATGGTGACAAGATAAGAGGTGTTCCTCCTTGCATGACAGGGACAGTCAGTCACAAAGTCCTAGGGCTGTTGATAACATCTTGCATACGTACTAGGCCACCCTTAGTGTGCAGTCAGAGCCATTTCTGGCCTTTTCATTCTCGTGAACCAATAAATATCACACTGTTTTCACCAGTTATTCTATCATTTCTAATGTTATCAGGGAAAGTAATCTGGCTTTCATGTATACCTTCCTCTTAAGTTCTAAGCATCTTGAACAGACTTGCACTAAACAGTGGCTATGTCCAAGGTCCTTTAGCTGGGGATGGGTGCCTGTCCTAACAGCTCAGGAGTAAAACTATCTTTTTAATAAAAATAGCTAGAAAAAGGCCATTTCTGATAGGATTACTGTTCTTTATTCTTTTATAAAAATGCCTAAGGGATAAAGGAGCAGAAACTAAGACTTTCTACCTCAACTTCCCAAGTTGTTTTCTGCTAGATGTTTGTAAGCTCTCAATTTGATGATACTACTTCCCTGGTGTTTTTGTTCTTGGACTTGTAAGTCTTGCCCAAGGGGACACTGTTCTAACAGGATCCTCTCTGTCAAAAAATTCAGTTACCTACATTAAAGAAGCGTCCTCTGTTGATTTCTGCTGGAGGCTTTTAGAGCACAGTTTGATGAGATCTTGAGTTTAGTTCTCTCTTCTGTCTAGCTGTTTGTCTGTCTGTCTGTCTCTCTCTGAATCATATTTTGTTTACTCTATTTGTGATAAACTCATGCATGAAAAACCAAAAATATGGCTATTGTGATTCTTCAATAGACCACTGAGAGCAAGGTAATTAGCTGACTTGGCAATTAGCTGCTCTTGCTCATTAGTGACCATTCTTTCACCTAACAGCCCTTAACTCAGTGTCTCAGGACTGGTTGCTATTTCCTGAGCATTAGTCATTCTGACTTCTACCACTCAAAGACCACCCTGGCTGAGGATGACCCATTTGGAGGTAGCTGCAACCCAGTCCAGATGGGAAATGTTAAATGGCTCACTAAAGGTCTGGAAGGTGTCAGTCTCAGCACGGAAAGACATTAACACATTTGTGTGTGCTATGAGTTTTCTTCCTTGCATGGTTTTATAGAAACATTAAAGTATTGATTTCTTTTCTAATATGACCTCCCTAAGTATGTCAAATTTCCGCAGTACTGATACTCCTTCTTCAAATATTTAAAAGATGAAATTTCAGGAACTTACTAAAATTACATTTTATTGAGGCCAAAGATACCAGTACATGTACAATTATATCTGCACATCTATATATATTTTGTATGTGTATATATATATACATACATAATATATATACACACATATACATATATACATACATATTATATATATATACATATATACATACATATATATAATTTCACAAGATTATAGCCTGACTTTATCCAATAGAAGACGTGGGTTAATTATTCTGACTGAATAACAGTAATGTCTTTTAAAATAATTTTCTGTCTTGAAAAGTGATGGTAGCTACACTAAATTAAATTAAAAGCTTTTTAAATTTAACCTTGCTGATGACTTTTAAGGATTTGATAAGTATTAAACAATATTCATAAATATGTGTACAATAATACAATTAAAATATAATACGTAATTTTATAAAACTGTAGAGAACTGTACTGAAAAATACTGTAAGCACACCTAAGGCTAAAACCTGCTGTTATTAAATATTTCCTCACATATATCAGAGAATAGATTTATAATAAAAGCCATGTGTATAATCTTAAATACATTATTTATATTGCATATTTTATAACATAGACATATGTTAAATACTTAGGTATTCATAAAATGGTGAACAATATCTCATTTCATTTATATAGAATGTTGATATTTATTAATCATATCATATATTATTTGGTATGTTTAATTTAGTATTCCAAGCATTTTGCCACATCATTGAAAATCTATCACAACATCATAAGTAACTGTATAATTGGGTCATAAAAATGTATCATATTTACTAAAAAGGAAAGGTTTTGTGTTCTGTCATAATGTAGTCACATGGTTTCTGAACATTTTGCAACACAATAAAAATCACATTTTAAACATTTTTAAATGATTTCTTTTTTTAATGATTTCCTTATTTTATGTTTAAGAGTGTTCTATCGTCATGTACACTTGAATGCCAGAAGAGGGTATCAGATTGCAGTGTAGATGGTTGGGAGCCACCATATGACTGCCTGGATTGAACTCAGGACCTCTGAGAGAGCGGACAGTACTCTTAACAACTGAACCATTTCTCCACCCTCAAAATGATGTTTTTACTCTATTTATTTGGTGTTTTGACAGCATTTGCATACCATTGGAGGCCAGAAGAGAGAATTGGATTCCCTATAACTGGAGTTACAGACAGTAGTGATCCCCTGAATGGCTGTTTAGAATTGAATCTCTAGGCCTCAGGAAGAACAAGCACTACCCTTGACTGCTGAGTCCTCTTTCTGGCCCCCAAGATGCATATTTTAAATGGCAATCCATCAGAGACACACACAGAGATACGAACACACGGAAATGTAATTTTATGCAACCACACAAGGGAACTTGACGTTATCACAATGATGTTCTCTTTCCATTTCTCTCTCACTGTTTCTCTAAAAGGTTATGGTCACTGAGCTCTAATTTGAGTACCTGCACGGCTTCAACTTAAAGTTCGTAGCATTGTACAGTTGGATATAAACCAACTCGTTTTATTATTTCCTGTTGTTGAATACATAAATGAATAGGTTTACTTGTTAGAAGTAATTCTGCAATAAACTTTTTTCTTTGTTTCTCACAATTCTGACTTATTTTCATAAAGAAGAAGAACTAGTGGATAAGTAGCCCTAAGACACAGAAATTAAATGCAATGACGACCAGAGACTGTTGATTTAAGGGGCTATCTGGCTTGGCAGTTTCCAGCTGCCTCCTGTAGCCTAAGGAGAGTTATTATTCTCTCTGCTTTGTACCTGGGGGCTCAGGGGTGTGACTGAGTCACACCACAAAGCTTTGATCAGTAGTGTTAGAAACTGAACCAGACTTCTGATTCAAATTCCAGGCTTCCCTTTTAGCTTGTACTGGAGCTGAGTCTATAGTCGTGCAGATTATCAAGGTAGAAACAGGCACCTCACATCCATTACTGACTCTGTAGGAGAAAATTGTAGAGTAATGTGAAGGACAGGCTCCACCCCACTTCAGTTTCTTACTAGTGATGCTGTAGAACAGTTAGAGGTGTCAGGAACTCATAATTCTTTACAAGAATAAATCAATACAGAAATACATTAGACTAAGGGTCTTCTAAAAAGTCAGAGAGTCAGATTGTATATATACATGTGATCTAAATGCTATTGGAAGATAGCAGTAGGCAAAAAGGGGTCTCTAGCAGACATATGTCCCTTGTTCCAACCTCAGATTGAGAGCCACACCTGCTGATTTTAAATCCTGGAGACTGAACAGATAGTAACCAGGAACCTCAACCTTACTAACACTGAGAAATTTTTCTGTACTGCCTTGATGTGTAGTTTAGTCTACATAACAGCCTTAATGGAGGTTAAGTCAAAGGGAAAAAGAGCCAACAGAAAAATTTCTCGTTGATCACAACAGAACAGTATGAGCAACAGTATAGATAGGGTCACACCGCTGTTTAATGCAAGATATAAAACAAATGCTCATGAGCCCATACTGCAATAAA